GGCGTCGGCGCTCCGGGTTTAAATCCTCATGAATTCGACCTGAATTCTCGCTTGTGTCGTCTTCTCGCTCAGCGGTTTCCTGACGTCATCTCAACTCGGCTCGGCGGCGGGGTTGCAATTATTACCGCTTCGGATAGACTCGGTCGGCTCGTCATCCAGTGGTGTTTCGCCCAGTGAAGCTCGTTCTGCGTTGATGGATTCCGTTCTCCTCGGACGACCCTTGCCAATCTCGACCTCGACGCCGTCGACTGGCTCGCGCATCACGTACTTGCCTTCTTAACCGACAGCATCTCCGTCCCGTGGTGAGGTGTCTACTGAAGTTACGTCGAGTGTGCCGTCAGTTCAGGTTACTCTAATCCAGACTTCCCACTCTTCGAGTCCTGATTTCGTCTTCCAGTCGACCGTTGTCGACGACGAATGGGCCTTCACTTGCCGATTCACTGTCAGCTGTGTCTCCACCGGTTCCGACTGAAAGCAGTGGTAAAGTGTCATCCTTGCCATCGCCTGTCACCTCCCCGTGTTCGACGATTGCGACTGACACTCCGGCTCAGCGAAACACCAGGAATTGGCACTCGTCCATCCCGATATGTCCGTTGAGCAGCCCGGTGGTCGCGCAGTCGCGTGTCCTTCGAAGTCGCGGTAGGGATAGCTCCTCACGAGCATCCACTGGATCTCGACGAGTGTGTTTTCTGTGTACGGATCGACGTATTTAACCGCGTCTTCGTCCTCGACCGCGGATCCTCGATCACCGATTACGACGTCAAGGATGTCGACTAATGTATCCACGTCCGCGAATCTGGACCCAGCACCTTCGCCCCCTAGTTTGGTTGCCGCGCGCTCGCGTGCTTCTCTAAGCACGTGTTCGAGGTCGTTACCCACATTTGTCAGCTGGAGCCCGACGAGTTGGTCCTCGCGTTTCTGGATCGGCGTCGGTGACTTCATTGACTTTGCTGGCGTCGGCGGCCACAGCGACTTTGTTGACGTCGGTGGCCACTTCTACCATATTGACGTCGATTCCCGCGTCTCCGACCGTGGTTGTCTCGGCTCTACGGTCGCCTCTCGCGTCCCATGACGTTCCCGCGACCTCATCTCCATTAAGCTTGGTAGATGCCACCGCTTATCCAGCGACACCGATAAAGACCGGCAAGTCGGGTCGCTCGTCCGCTTCCACGCCCGCCAAACGTTCCCGGCAGACCGGGGGCTAGTTCCCTCGTCTCTTCATCTGCGCCTCGGGCAATGTTGACTCTCCGATCAAGCATTTCGTCGGCTGAGGCCATTGAAACAGCTGAGGAAGATGTCGCACCTTTCATTCCCGCATCGGTGATGTTGGAGTTGCCTCCCTCGTTGTGTATGCCGCTGTCGGTGCTTCGCATCCGCGCGGGCCAGGCTGCAGCACGTGATTCTCGTCATACTCTAGCGATGAGGCAAAGTGTGTATACCATGTTTTACCACCATGGCTCGGCTCGGTGTTGGTCCCGTATTACTGCCGCTCGGTCGCCTCTTCGCCTGGAAGATATCCATGGGCGGTCTGTCGTTGCGGCTACTCCCGTGTTAGAGGCTGCTCTTTGCGCAATGATGGACGTGTTCAGTCCGTCTCATCCCTGTCAGGTGACTATCGGTTTGTCCCTGGACTCACCGATGTTTGTGGCAGCGGCTCGCCTTGATGATGCTCGGACCAGACTCTTGTCTGCTAAACGATATCACTGGACGAACAGTATGCTGGACGCTGTCTGTGAAGCTTGGGTTCGGTACCGCGGGTTACGTCATGAAGTCGACGGTGATGGGACTGTTGATTATCGATCGAAGGTTTACGTCGCATTATGGGAGAGGAGTCATTAGCTCGTCCAGTCCAGCGTCCTGATGGGGATGCACCCAGATTTTGACTCTGCCCGGTCGACTGCTGATGTGAGAACTTTTTTCGCGCTTTGGTCGGAATATTCAGATGCTCGCAAGCGTCGTGGGGATCTCCTCCGACTTTCTGTAAATTCCCTCAACCGTATCCTCGATGAAGCTGTCTCCGTGCGGATGTCGGACGTACCAGCCCCTGCGCTCGATCCCGAGCTCTATTTTGAACCTTCCGTGCCCCACTTCCCACTCGTGAGTCACGCGTGGATTCCTTCCAGTCTTGAATGGTTTGACGAGCTCGGTGCGTTGGATGCTTCGGAGCCATGGCGGGTCTGGTGGTTGACTCAGCCGGAAGAGCGCCCTTACAATACTTGCTTACGACTAAGCTCGGTAATTGTTGTGTTTGTACGTTGAGGCTGTTGTATTACAGATTTAACTAACTACTATACTACTACTGCAATCGATGGCGACCGGCTGTCGTAGCTAGTAATGAAGGAGCAATAATGCTGTCGCGCTCCATGGTAGCAGGACACAAAAGCTGAAGGCTATTTCCGCGAAACATCATCGCCTTTGCATGCCAGCTCGTATTTGCCGCTTAATCCGGCATGATGAACGTGATTAGTTTCGTGGCGGCATCGTAACTGGTCTACTTGGCACCCTTGACCAGTTCTCGACTCAGGGCATCGGGTTTTGTCTCCCCCCGCTCTGCTTTCCAAGAGCTGGAGTAGCAACGTTTTCTCAGCGATGTAGTGAGACATGCGCACGTGCGGATGAACAATCGCAATAACCTTTATTCAAGGTGCGCTTCAAAAGTATCAAGTATCACAACCCGCTTAGCCCACGGGTGCGTGCAGACCAAAAACCTGGGCGGGGACTGAAGTATGATGCCCCCACCATTCTTACCGCAAGAGCCTCATCCTCAAGCAGGACAATCTGGCGCAGATCATTGTCCGCCTTCTCAACACACATAGACTTGCTTCTTGAGCCGTCGGCGGCGCACGCTGGTCAACGACGGGATCGGACATCGTCTTTTCTTGATTCTCTCGTACTACAAGCGGTAAGTCGATGGATAGGGCGTGGCTGGGAACTACACTTTTCCACTACGTTACCTGACGAAGTCCCTCCTCCGGAGGGTTCTGATTATCAACTACGCGCGGTGCGTCAATTTTGGGGGACGTTTGGCTGGTCCGGCAATCCGTGGATCCGGGATGCTAAAGGTGTGAAGTTGTTGCACTCGAAGTTCAATCAAATAGCCGCCTGCTCTATCGCTGACCTGCACATTTGGAGGACGGGCCCGACCACCTATGTTTTCACCATCCCGCCCTCGCGGTCAGAGGGAGTCACGTATTCCCAGCCGAAGCTTCGCCGGTGGGCGACAGCAATTTTATTGGCGTCTCCGTTATGTACGGTCGGGTCAGAATTGGGCGTGGCGGCAGCATTATCTCTTCGGCATCCCCCCCCATTTCGTTATGAATATGACTGGGTCACTGTGAGTCGGGGTTGCGTCGTGGGAGCTCGCAGGAATTCACTAGAGGAGAGAGACGGAATGGTGCAGTTACGCCAGGGCTCCGATGGGCTGCATTGGTTGTTTCAAGACGGCCTACCCGAGCTCCACACGGCGTCGGACGGTGACAGCCAGCGATGGGCTACGCACATCCGGCAGCACGGCGTGGTCTTTTATGCTCACCCAAGTCACCACCACTTTGCGTGGGGAGTACCCGAAACGGTTCCAAATGGAGCTCTCCGTCAGGCTATTTTGCACCGGGCTTTCTCGCTGCACAAACACCGACTAACTCGGCCTTTACTACCCTTATTGGAGCGGCTGGATGCAGTCTATCGAGAGGATTCGTGGCTAAGGGCGGCGGCGCATCAGCAACCATCCCAACTTTGGAAACATGATAACGGACTCTCCGACTATCAAGTTTGGACGGCGTATCGAGTCGCCACCAAGCAGCTAAATTTTCATCATGCCGGGCGGGCTGCCGACCCCAGCTGCCGGGCCCTGCCTACGTGTCACGGGGTGCCCGAAACGTCGAGGCACGTCTTTTGGGATTGTCAGAAGGCGCGGGCGTGCTGGGCTAAGTTCATCAGCCATTGGATCGGCGCTTCTGTGTCGAGTGCGGTAGTCCATAGTTGTCTCAGCAACTGTGCGAATCGACAGGCTCCGGCGATCCCGGCGTTTCAGCGGTCTCGGTTGCTCGAGCGGTTTCACGATGATGCCGCAGCGGGGGAAAAGGTGTGGCGACGGATTTGGTTTTTAATGTGTTCCGTTTGCATTACGCATTTATGGAGCGAGCGCAACGATGCCGTGTTCAGAGGCGTGCAGTCTACGACGGCTCAAAGTGTCGTCCATTTCTGGACAACCGGCGTCCGTCAATTAACGGCCTTGGCTATGCGTGAGCATAGAGGGGCGTCGACAGTTCTTCGAGGGGCTCGATTACATGCCTCCCTTGAACTTTTTACTCTTGAGGCTAGCGGAGTTTCGCTACCACTAGAGAGGTGCCTTGATCCACCGCCGCGACCGGCGCTGTATTCTAGGCTTAGAAGATTTCAGACTTCTAGCGCGTAACCATCATGTGCAATAGACAGTCATGAATCTCTCTCTCTCTCTCGCCTTCTCAACACACATCATGGTAAGCGCGCATAAGGACCGCCCCGCGATCATAAGGAGCATCGGTCCCCGCGACACCATCGGTGGGCACGGGCGGACAAAATTGTCTGGAGTGGCTTGATGAAAGTCTTCAAAGTCAGGTCGGCGAAAGTAGATGGAGGCCGGTCGGCGAAAGTACGTGGAGGCCGGTCGGCGACAGTCGTCAAAATGAGGTCGGCGATCGTCGCCGACCCCACTGACCGCAGCAGCGTACGAGCGTTGCCGACCTGTCGTCTTAAGTACGACCTCCGGGTCGCCCGTCCCATGTCCTTCTTAACAACTCTTGGGCGCATGGGCGGACCGTCACCTCCCCCGTCCTCCATCCCTCGCTCCTCAGTGATATCGGGAAGGCGATCGCTCTGCACGGGCGCGCTGTGCCTCTCGGCAAGTGGCTAAAGCAGCGCTGTGTATCTCTGCCGTTGGCAGGTCGCGCAAGTGTTGGCACCCTTCCACGTGCCAGTATGTGGGTCTGCGTACTAGGTTGCAAATCTGAAAGTGCTTAACGATGAGGAAATACACATGCTTCGAGCAGTTCATGGAGGACATCCAGCTTATCGTACGGAATGCCAATGTTTTCAATCCCAAACGCAGCACCACGCGTCATATCGCGCATGCAGCTGGTACGATGAAGGACAACATCTTGTCGTACGCTCACCGCTTCCGCATACGCCAGGGTTACGACCTCTTCGCCAAATGTCGTGAGGTGACAAAGCGGCTCCGAGCGCATCCAACACTATACGGAGAATACGGTCAACGATTTTCGAATGCTACTGGAAAGAGCTCTCGCACGAATCATGTCTGCACGTACGAAAAGCCCGGCGCACGCGCCAGTGTCCGTGGTGTGAAGGATCCTGATCTTAGCGTGGCTGCAGCGCTCTCTCGCGCGACGGCAATCACAGGTAAGTCTGCTATGCCCGAAGTCGCTGTGAAGAAGGAGCTTGCGGCTGATGTTCGAAGCAAAACGAAAGTCGTGCGGGTAGCTCAGTGGTTTCATGATGAAGAGGAGGAGGCAAGAAAGCAGAGCAAGACAGGCGAGTGCACCAAAACGGAAAGCTGCGACAAAGCAGATGAGGAGGTGGTAGAAGATAGAGCAAGAGAAGATGCCAGACGTTATTTATGACGAGGTTGTTGTTGTTGTTGAAGGTGAGGTATATTGAGGAACGTTATCGACCAACAATACCCTTCCAGAGAGATTAAACTATCTGGTGTTGCTATCTATGATGAGTGAAGTCGCTACCGTGTGAGGAGCAGTTCTCCTGGCCACCATTAGCTGTGCTGGCAATGCCCTCTCGCGGGTAGTTTGCATGTTGCGATTATTCGATCCACGGTCGAGTTCGACTGATGTCTCGAGCCAGTGGTTGACGTCGTGCTGTATGTGATGCGTGATGTCCGTATAGATGTTCGTATCTGTCAGATCGTGAACTTGAAGAGTTGTCTTGGTATTCATCGCAGTGTTCGCTGCGACTTCTGCCATCATATTAAATTCCCGGATGTGGTGAGCCCAGCTGGCGACTGATACACCGTCAGCCAATGCTCGCGCTTGTCGGTACAGTGCGGCTGGGTTCGACTTGCGAGGTGAGCGATACCCTCGGAGTTGATTAATTACCATTACATTGTCCCCGATGACATGCAACGGTAGGAATTCGCTGTGTTTTGCCTGCCGTAGGCCTTGAATGAGACCATTATATCCAGCCGAATTGTTTGTAGTCGTCCCCACTCGAAGTGATATACTAGCCATCCAGACGATTGTAGCGGCATGTGTCTGTGGGTGAACACAGACAATGACGGAGCCTGAGCCTCCTGGTCCGGGGTTTCCCTGTGAACCACCATTGAAGAATAGCAAATACAGGTTCGTTGCAAAGGCTGGTTAAGCGTTTAGCAGCAGTATTGGGGTCCCAGTGTGTTGTAGAAGGTCATCTGCCAAAGCTGAGCGCATTCTCGCCAGCACTTGTTCAGATGTACCACCGCCAGGTTGGTAGGTGGAGTTCCTGAAGCATGAGAGCGCTCTACGTAGCCTGGATTGGGCGACCGTATGATGGGTCTCCACTGACAGTGTAGGATCCTCGATGCGTCTGAGCCGCTCCAACCATATTGTGTGAAAAGTAATCGACACTACAAAGCGCCATAGTTCGGTTGAAGCTTCATAGCAGGCTTCTCGAGCGTCCAGTGTCCTGTCGCACGCATTTAATGAGGCTTGAGCGATAACCCACGCACGTTCTGGAGTACGGGAAAGTTCTAGTGAAAAAATGTTTACCGGTAATTCAGCATCAGTGAAACGACCAATTCGGCTCCAGACCTCGCAAATATTTATGACGAGGTACGGTGGCACGCTTATGGCTATGCCTCGTTTTATAGTCTACTAACAGTGTTATGTTGTCGACGTTTGCTGTAGGCTCGAATGGATGCAGTCTTGACGAAGATCGTGGAAAAGACGGCAGGCTGGACTGTCGACAAGCTGCGTGACGAGCTGCTGGTGCTCAACAAACTGGCGTACCCGTATCGCAATAGCTTTGACCGTACCGAGCTGATGATGGTGAGAAGAGAGATGCCAAATGTCGATGGAATATCTACATGTGCTTGCCACTGGCTAACAGCTTGTCTCTTGACTTTGACCTCCAGCTCCTCGAGGCCCACGAGATGGCGATGTAGTGAGTGACGAGAACGAAACAGCTGGCAACAAACAGTAGACGTCGGAAGTGTATTGAAGTACGTGAAGAGATTACTCTCTCACCAGTAATAACGCCATCGAACTTAGACGGACGAGCCCCCCACTCCCTCTGTGAGATGACTTCGCGTTGGCAATCGAAACGAAGTCGCTGCATTGTGTGTGTTGCTCACTCTCTCCGTGTTCTCCGTCTACGTCGCGTCCTCACTCTTCTCCTCTCCTCTCCTCTTCCCCTCTCTCCCTCTTCAATGCCCATCGTATACGCACTCGTCTCGCGCGAGAAGACTGTGCTGGCCGAGTACACGGCCACGTCGGGCAACTTCCCAACCGTCACGCGCGTGCTCTTGGCCAAGATCCCCCCCACGGACGGCCGCATGTCGTACGTCTACGACCGTCACCTGTTCCACTACATTGTCGAGGGCGGCGTCACGTACCTGTGCATGGCCGACGACGATCTCAAACGCCGCGTGCCGTTCCTCTTCCTCGAGGACATGAAGAATCGGTTCCAAGAAGCGTACGGCGAACGCGCCCGCTCAGCGATCGCGTTTGCGATGAACAGTCAGTTCCAGCACGAGATCCGACGGCTGCTCGAGTACTACAATGCGAACCCCGACGCGGACTCGCTGTCGAGGGTCCGGCAGCAGATTGACGACGTCAAGGACATTATGGTCGAGAACATTGAAAAAGTGCTGGACCGGGGCGAGAAGTTTGAGCTGCTCGTGGACCGCACGGACAAACTCAATCGCCAGTCGGTCAAGTTCGAGCGCTCGTCGACGCTCCTGCGCAAGTCCATGTGGCGACGGAACGCCAAGCTCTGGCTGCTGCTCGTGGCCGTCGGGCTCTTTGTGATCTACCTCGTCGTCTCGATGGCCTGCGGCTTTGACTTGAGCGGCTGCTCGGGCAAACGGGACGGCGAGTGACGGCGAGGTGAGAAGGATGGATTGATTGAGTACACTGCAGCGACAGTAGTCGGCGCGGGGTCGAGTGCCATCAACCGGTGAATGGGTTACTCAAGTCACGGAGCTCCTCTCTGTGTGTGATAGTAGCAGTATTTGCTCTCCTCGTGCGTGTGTGGTCGTCTACTGATTGATCTATTCGCCCATCTATTTATTGACCCATTGATCGACATTTACTGCTGACTGCCAGCACAGGTTCACGAGGTGCAGATCCCTACAGGTGCAAAGTCGAGGGCGCTGTCGAAGTGCGTCTCGGACGCCTTGCGCACGCCGTCGTGCCAATGGCCCTCGACGTTCGCATGCAGCGCCCCGGTGATTGTCTTGTAAATAGCCTCGTCCCGCCCCAAGAAGTGCACGAGGACGAAATTGCAGCTGACAAACGCCAGCGCCTCCATGGCCACATCGACCTTTGGGCTCTGCAAAGCGCGCGCCAGGCGCGTGAAGACACGACGCTGCAGCGAGTGCGTGGGGTCCACTTGCTGGAGTGGCGGACCCGACATGATGACGCGGGCGACCATGCGCGTGGCCCCGACCTCTTCTTTGGGAAAGCGAGTAGGCCACGCACTCAGCAACCGCTTGAGCAGGAGACCTGTGACCGATGGCATGTACGCGACGAACTGACCCGCACAACTGATCAGTTCTTCGTCATCGGATCCAGCGGGATCGACCCAGTGGGCGCGCCAGAGCGACACGAGGCTGAGCATGCAGTTGCGCACAAGTTCCGCCCGCAACGTCTCCTGCTCCTGTGCCGCCGCATCGCTGTCCTGTGCCAGCGACGATGACGACGACGACGTCGCTTGCAAACTCTCCTCGACATGCTCGATCGAGTACCGCAGCAACTCGGTGAACCCGTGTCCGTGGTCGTGCTTGTCGGTGGTGAGTCGCGCCGATGTCTTCTCGACACCCAGCACCTCGGCCCGCGCGGCAACTGCAGCCACGTGCTCTACACGCAGCGCTGTTGCATCCGCTAGTGCTCGCACGAGGTGTGGTCTCTTGGTCGGACAGCTCTTGTGGATCGCGCGCAGTATATCAAGTCGCACACTGGCAACGCGAAAGTCCTCAAAGCGCAGCGCGTTGACCAGCGCGTGCAAGAACGTGGGCGTAAGGAGGCTATCGGCCGCAGCTGCTGGAGACGCTGCAGTCGGGAGCGAGGACGGCACGTGCAGATGGAGCTGGCTTTTGAACAGCGCGGTCGCCAGGCCTTGCTTGACAAGCTCTTCGTTGGGTTCGTCCGTGTCGGTCCCTTCGTCTCCAAAGGCACAGAGCGCTTGCCGCGGACGACTGCGCCGGCCTCGTTCCCGGCGAGAGAACAACGCCTCGAAGATCGTGTCAATAACGTCATCGCGACTTGCGACGCGCTGCGGCAGACGCTTCTGCTGACTAAACAGCGTCAGCTGCTGCGGAAAAGCACTTGCAGCCGGCTCGGGATACACGTCCACTGCGTCCTGGACATCCAACAGCGTCGTAGCAGGAGCCGTCTCGACGTTCTGGTCCAGCGGCGCGTCCGGTAACTGCAGGTCCGTCGACGTGAGCGACAGTTTGCGTCGGTGCTGCTCACGCAGCGACACGGCCTTCGACTTGACGGACGGCTGCTGCTGCACGAGCCCTTTGCTGCCCATGCGCTGCCGTCTGCTGTTACCCGACGCACTGGAGACACTGCCTGGTCGGGTTCTCGTCTGCTGCTGCTGCTGCTGTTGGGTCTTCCTCGCTGCCGCGTTCTTGTGGAGTTTGTCAGCGGCGGTCGCTGTAGCTGACCATCTCGCGCGCTGAGCAGGTGCGCGGACGGACGCAGCAGTAGTCGATGACGTTGCGCTGCGTGCGCTCAGACCGCGTCGGTCCGTCACGAACGCCATGGAGCGCTTGGGCGCAGCAGCTGTGGCCGGTGGCCGCCGCGCACGCTGAGCGGCCGGTACGAACACGGGCGCTGCGAGCGAGAGACTCGCACTGCGGCCGAAGCGCTGCGTCATCTCGTCTTCATCTCGACTCAGGTCGCGGTCGCGCTGGCGACGGACGCGACTGGCGCGTAGTTTGGAGCCGTTGATCGTGTCGCCGATGTTGGCGGCATCGGCGCGACGCATGGCGGGAACCACTGGACGCGGGACCAGAATCAGGTGAGGTGACGCACATCAAAATGGAGCGGGATAAAAGCACTTTTCTCGAGCGGTGCGTGTGGCGAGAGGGTATTTATTCTTTGGTTGAACGTGATATGATGCGGGTGATCACTGCTTCTTCGACTTGCGGCGAGTGATGTGATCTCACTAGAACGAATTGGAAGTCAATGGTATCAGAATCATGAACATGTCGATGATTTAGAACCTTTCTGATGAACCTCTCATTTCTGATAGTTAAACAAGGATCTCACGTGAGGCCGCTCGGTCGGTGAAGTGCAAGTGAAAGGACCTACTGAACACTTTGCGCCAGGTTAGATCACACAACCATGTTGTAATCTACTGTTCACTTGGCTAATGACTGTGCATATTCTTTTACACTGCCTATACATACTAGGTCCTGCTAAGATCCTATGCTTTCTCTGTTGTTTTTCACATCTTTTCCTCTTTTTCTTCGCCCTTTTGGCTATCGGGACAGCCTTATTTCGCCCATGTCGCTCGCTCTTCGAGCATATATGCTTGGTCGTACCGAATCTACAAGAAGTCATCTCGTTTAGGATGTGGCCTTCGCTCTTGATTGTTTGGCTATGGTCGTGGCGACATGAATCTTCTACTGTCGAATTTGAAGCGGTTGGTGCTTTTCCATTCCACCGAGCAGTATCCGAGAATCTCTTGCTTAGCCGAATTCCTTTTTTGTAGTGGCGTTCATAGATTTTGTGTATTTTATTGGTAGAAACGACTTATGCATGCAAACGTTCGCGATTTCGCAAAGCACGGGCGATCTCATATTTACGACTTGCCGCCGCGACGCATAATACGGTATAACGTGACACTACATACATGTAGGCTGAACTATGAATGTATCATTGTCAATAATTTAACGGTGTAACGGGGTGACCTTGTTACATGTAATTGGTCTTGATAAATGTCGACGTGGATAGTATCTCAGAGATTATATTTTTCGAATTTACGGCAACCATCATGGTCAGTAACTTTTTCTGTTTGGTAGACATAGGGCATTCTACCAACTAGCAAGTGTCCAACAAATGATGAGCGCGCGCACTGGGTGGCTAGTAGACAGTCAAAGTTTGTGTTTGCATTGCTATGCTATGCATGAAAGCTTCATGGATTGTATCAGAAGAAGCTGAACTGTGGCATGTACAGTTCTCCTTTTACCTTACATTTACGTCTTCACGTAAGTCTACTCGCTTCCTTGCATGTACATGTGCAATAGGGTGCGCGGCACCTGCATACACTGTGATCAGTGTAGGTAATGGTATACTACTATCAGTAGAAGCGAGGTGCACTGTTACACAATGGTACGTGTCATTTAGCGACACGATGCAACGGCGAAGCGTGACGGGAAGGGCAAGAAGAAGCCACGACTTGACGAGCACGGTCGAAGAAGAGGAGTAAGGCTTCATTAGGCCGGTATTAGGTTGTACTTCGCTAGAGTAATTGCAGCTCGATCCTCGACACCATTTGTCGAGCAGCCTCCCCTTTTTTTGCCTTGACAACCCGAAAGCCAAGGGTTTCTCTAAAATCAAGCCCGCGGTCGGCTGCTCGTGCACATCACAGTGCGGTGAACTCTGTCGGCCGCCCAGCTCACGGCCGAGCTAAAAGTAACGGGGCACTTTGCTTAACTGGCAATTGAAAGTTATGTCACCTTTACTGATGATAGTGTCGGCAGGTGTCGCGCACCCTATACACACGTACAGGCAGAGGAGACGAGTGTAATATAGCAAAATTGGCACCGCCGGACCTCTTACTCAGTGCAATACAAAAGGATGGCCGATAGAGAGGCTCTTGCTTATCCGCTACTTCCTGCAGCTGAAAGGTTGTTAAGTCCTAAAGATTACTAAACATCGAAGCTTGCTAAAGCTCGAAACCTGCTAAGCTCGAAGCCCTGAAGTCACACCTTGCTGAAGGTGAATATCGCTTGATCTCGATAGACTTAAAAGCTCGCTGAAGCTAAGGCTCGCTGAAGCTAAAATTCGCTGAAGCCTGAGCTCGCTAAAGTTTGAAACTCGCTGAAGCTGAATGATTGGTGAGGAGTATAAATTGTTTCTCATCTCATTCGTTGAACGTAAAGGAAGGATAGGATAAAAAGGAGGCACTCACTTGGTTCCTAGACATATTTATGGAGACAGAGTAATATAGAGCATGATGTTCATAGTCCAATATAGAGATCACATTAACGTTGAGTCTCTGTGTGGGCTACGCGCAAAGCTGCTACGTATATCGTCAACTTTGCAGAGTAAACATTAAGGTAAGTAAATGTTGATGCATCAACGTGGGTGGAAAGTGCAGACACCTTGTTTTCAGATTTGATTCACCTGCCAAACTAATCCGGCAGCGTAAGACAACAATTGCAAAGTCAATATACAGTGCAACGCACTCCACGCTTTGTTATGTTTGTAGCTCTTATGTCACGACAAACAAGCTGCATAAAAGTAAACGCTTTGTTTGTATCTCGCTAAGCGTTAGTGTATGCTGCAACAAGTGACGTGTTTTGACAAAGTCTCAGCAAAGTGCTGTAAGCCTACGTTGCGACACATAGTTTTTCCATCTTTGTGATACTTGATGCGCTTTTCGCAGGCTGCAATAAATGCGACGGAGTGTTTGATAACGAGCGAGACTCCTGGATGTCAACTGCTGTAACTACTTCGTGAGGAGACTATCGTTGCGTATCATTTGGGTTTGCAGTAATAAACGCTTTTCTACCTAATCGATAGAAGTCGACGTGACCAGACACAAAGATGCGCGTGTTGGACATAGATACAACAAACAAGCATATCGCGGTGTCGACGATCAAGCAGCTGCGAATCGTCAGACTGTGTTTTGAATGTGACACATCATCACAAGCGGCACGAGCTCGCACCCTCTTTCGGGCACCGACAAAGTCGAAAAAGTTGTGAATGACACTGGTAAAGAAAGTGCCGCTTATGCAACGGAGTCATGACTTCGTCGATTTCGCAGTGGCGAAGCATCGTGGAAAAGGCCTGCGTGTGAAGAGCCTTCACATCAGCGTAAGCACTCTACTTGATCGCGCATCGCAATGCAGTCTCAGATAGACCTCATCTTCGTCGAGCCGCCTAGAGCACTGGCAATGCAACAGCCGCAAAAACGGATGAGCGCGAGCAATTTGCCCCTATAAGCTGCAAGTCGTGACCGTAGGGCAACACGCGGCCGGTAGATGACGTCTTGCTGCAGTAGCGCGTGCATGTCGAGTGAGCGCAATGTTGCAACGGGCGATTCGCGTTTGTTGTGTATCAAGAGCTGGTATGTGCCTTTTGTCACGAGAAACAGCAACTTGTTGAACGTTACGGTTCGTTGTAGGATGTCCAGGTCGACATCTGGTCCTAGATGACAGGCTTCGTCAATGCGCTGCTGCCAGGAGCCTTTTTCCGTTACAACTTGCTACTATGCGATTAGCCGTACTCGACAATACGGGCGGCATATCTCCAAAAAGATCTGCCTGAGCACAACCTTCCCGATATGGTCGAATAAGCTCGACGTGAACGTGCGGTAGGCGCGCATTACGCCGCAACTTTCTAGACAATACATGCGGCCAAATGAGGCTACATCTCAGCACAACACACGTCTGTCCCCAATGACAAAGCGTCCTGTTTCTGATTCCATGGTGCCATCCATCTAGACTGGCACATATCTGAAAGCTGTTCACTCGCGTGTTCCAGTTTGACAAAGAAAGGCAATCGCCCTTGTCCAATAGAGTGCAGCCAGTCGCCCAGCGCTCCCACACACGCGCAGTCAGTCAGTCAGTCAGTCAGTCGGTCAGTCGGTCAGTCCCCATGACTCGCAGTGTGCTGGAACAGACGGGGTCTCCCAGCGCGAGCAGCGGTGCGTACTGATCCCTCTTCTCGCTCTGCATCTCCTCTTGTTGGCTCGTCCAGTTCCGTTTGCGCTCACTGTGATAGGCGCTGTCGTTGTGTGTGTGTGTGTGTGTGCGTAGACTCGTCGCCTGTGCTTGTTGCAGCGCCAGAGTGCCAGCGATCGCCCGGTCGTCCCGTGGAGACAGAGGAAGACGAGGTGGGGGCGGCCGCTTATCGGTTGTAGAGGCTGACGTGTATAGGCGTGCGTACTGTACATGGACACGGACGGACCAGAGTCTGAGCTCTGTTGTTTTGTGCCCCGCATTTGCGTGCGTTTTGTGCAGTCGGATGGCGACGAAGTAGAAGCGATTGAAGCGATCGAAGCGATTGAAACGAAGAATGCAAGCGACACTGAGAAAAAGCGATCGTCGGTTTGTACCTCTTGTGTTTGTCTCTGCATTGCGTCGTTTTGCGGAAGTAGCAAATGTGGGTCTGACTGCAGCTTTCCTTCCCTCGCGACAGCGTCGACTGCAGACCAAGCTGGGCGTCGCTCGAATGCCCTTGTCGTCTACGGATCACGAAGACGCCAATAGCGTCTCGTCCTTGTCGACCTCGCGCTATGCGTTGCGCACGCGGCACGTCAACTCGGAGCGCTTTGACGAGTCCATTTACAATGACGTGTTTATGAACTCGATTGCGGCTTACCACGATCCGACGCCAGCTGTGTCTTCCATGAATAGCAAGAAGCGTAGACGTTGTCGTGGCAGGAGTCGGAACCGCCGTGCCAATCGACTTCGTTGCCGCGTAGACGAAGAGGAAGACGATGAGGAGGAGGAGGAGGAAGACGATGATGAAGAAGGGGATGACCCGCTGGGTCAGGAGATGAGCATGCGCGAAATAAACAAAAAGATCAAAATGCAGGGTCGTGAAGAACGAGAAAGGTCACAGGTGTTACCACGACAAGGCCGCCCGCTTCGTTATGCTTTACGGTCTCGAGGTAGTCTCACTATGAGCGAGGAGAGCAGCGCGTCATCGTTTTGTCGTAGGACAAAACGATCGCCGCTGGGGTTAGGTGTAACAGATAACGACCACGCGGAGGCCGAACATGACAGAGGAGAAGACGAGGGCGTGCAGTCCGAAAATGACGATGCGAACTCTGAAGATGCAGGTGGTGACGACGACGACGATAACGTCGAAGAAGAACCAGCACGTGCGGGTCGTTACTACTTGCGGCAGCGTCGACAAGCTCCTGTCGGCAACAGCATGACTACTCGAAGCCGATCCAAGGTTGGCTCAGTGCCTGCGTTTGAACGTGGAGATACATCGCGACGATATTCACTTCGTGACCGATCGAAGACGCACCGAACGGGCACCAATGAAGATGTGACTGCCTCGCCGGAGACTCCAGCTTACGCAGAGTACCTGAAGCGACGAGCTGGTCGCACTTCGAGAAGAAGTAGGGCGAACCAATCTGGGATCAATAGACGGCTATTTTTGTCGGACATGGACTCACCGCCTCATTCGCGCCGTCACCGAGGCCGAGCTCGACGCAAGTACGACCAGGGACATCGAAGCCGACGCCGGCGACCCCTCTCGTCCACTTCTGGCTCGTCTTCATCCTCAAGTATGCGCACAGACGAGGACGAATCTGACGGCGGAATGCGTACGGGCAGTCCGTGGCGGTCTTCCAAAGGTGGTCGAAGAAGTGGAAGCTCACGCGCCGATATCATGCCTGTGGAAGTAGACCGCAGCATCTCTTGGGACAGCGTGGGTGGTCTCACGACGCATATTGAAGCGCTGAAAGAAATGGTGATGCTACCGTTGATGTACCCTGAATTTTTTGATAAGTTCAAGGTAGCACCGCCGTCAGGTGTTCTGTTTTATGGGCCGCCGGGCACGGGAAAGACGCTGCTAGCTCGAGCTCTGGCAAATTCCTGCTGCTTGTACGACAAAGATGAACAAGGTCGTGGTCCAGACGGAGCAACGGGTCATGCGCAGTACGGCGAAAAGAAGGAAAGGCCTAGGAGGCATGTTGCATTTTATATGCGAAAAGGAGCGGACTGTCTGAGTAAATGGGTGGGAGAAGCTGAGCGACAACTACGCCTTTTGTTTGAGGAGGCTAAACAGAACCAGCCCTCGATTATATTTTTTGACGAGATCGACGGTCTTGCGCCTGTGCGCAGTGCCAAGCAAGATCAAATTCACGCATCTATTGTTTCGACGCTGCTGGCTCTTATGGATGGCATGGATTCACGTGGACGCGTCGTCGTAATTGGAGCAACCAACCGGCTTGATGCAATTGACCCTGCGTTGCGTCGCCCTGGCCGATTTGATCGAGAACTAGGATTTAAGCTACCGAGCGTGAATGAGCGGAAGAGCATGCTTGCGATCCACTCCAAACATTGGGACCCTCCGTTGTCAGACAAGTTTTTATCCGAGCTTGCTGAGCAAACGTTGGGCTACTGTGGCGCCGATATCAAAGCACTTTGCGCGGAGGCAGCTTTATGTTCTCTGCGTCGCGTGTACCCGCAAGTGTACGCAAGTGAGAACAAGCTTCTGATCAATATGGACAAGGTAGTGGTAGCCCGCGGGGATTTCGCCAAGGCAGCAAAAAAGATCACTCCGGCTTCTCACCGCACCGTCAGCTCGTTCGCATCGCCACTACCGCATGCCGTCAAAGCGCTGCTACAGCAGCACTTATCGAAGGTGTTGCGAGACGTTTCTCGTCACTTCCCGCTTTTTCCTCTGAGCAGAACGTCCACGGATGATGTCGTTGTCACGGATGATGGCGCAGGCGAAGATGTTAGGGCTGGGGATGACGAAAACGAAAGCGAGGACGATGTGGATATATATGGGATCGTGAACCATGATGAGTGCGATGTTTGTCGTGGGAACGAGATCGAGCTTCTTCGCTGTGACGCCTGTCCTAAGGCTTTTCATCGTGCATGCCTTGCAGACGTGACTGCGGCTTACGAGGAGAGCAAAAGCCGTGACGGTTCGTGGCTGTGCCCTGACTGTTATGACTCAGTTTCCACTGCTCGAAGAGGGGCACGTTGCGTGCAAAAGAAGCGTGTCCACTCCATCGCGAGTCTTAGGTTGCCTTGCCACTCGGGTTTTCCTCGCGTCTTGATTGCAGGCAAAGCTGGCATGGGACAGCAGTATATCGGTCCGGCGCTACTGCATTCATTGGAAGGATTGACGCACTTCTCACTGGACTACCCTTCCCTCGTGGCCGACTCCAACTCGCACTCCCCAGAAGAAGCACTCATTCGGAGACTCACCGAGGCGCAGAAATGCCTGCCCTGTGTACTCTACCTTCCGCAGGTTGAGTTATGGTGGAAGAATGCAAGCGAGTCAATGCACCTGACCTTGACGATGATGTTGACAACTCTTCAAGCTCAAGGCAGCCTGCCAATCATGTTTTTGGCGTGCACGGCGTCGTCCTCGTGTAATGAGCAAGGTCTACCGGATGACTTGCTGGCGCTATTTGAGAAAGATCCGAGCGTGTCCGCGACATCTGTGGTCATGGAGCTGGGCACGCCAAGCAAGAGTGAGCGCCATGCCCATTTTGAGCAACTGTTCGCCTCGATTGCTACGCCCCCGTCTGTTCAAAAGACCAACAAAACCAAGAGCAGCCATCTTGAGGTGCTGCCATTGGCGCCACTTTCACCCGCAAGGCCCGATATGAAACTGACGTCGGCAGAGCAGCAGAGAAGGAAAGAGCGAGACTTTCACTTTTTGCGTGAGCTGCGCATCTTCTTGAGTCAGGTGCTGGCGTACTGCTATTCGCAGAAAGCGTACACACCCTTCTTTGTACCGGTGGATCCCGTTGCAGTCCCGAACTACTACCTGATTGTAAAGCGCCCCATGGACTTGAGTACAATGCGTGACAAACTCGACGATGAAGAGTACACATGCTTTGAGCAGTTCATGGAGGACATCCAGCTTATCGTACGGAATGCCAATGTTTTCAATCCCAAACGCAGCACCACGCGTCACATTGCGCATGCAGCTGGTACGATGAAGGACAACATCTTGTCGTATGCTCACCGCTTCCGCATACGCCAGGGTTACGACCTTTTCGCCAAATGTCGTGAGGTGACAAAGCGGCTCCGAGCGCATCCAACACTATACGGAGAATACGGTCAACGATTTTTGAATGCTACTGGAAAGAGCTCTCGCACGAATCATGTCTGCACGTACGAAAAGCCCGGCGCACGCGCCAGTGTCCGTGGTGTGAAGGATCCTGATCTTAGCGTGGCTGCAGCGCTCTCTCGCGCGACGGCAATCACAGGTAAGTCTGCTATGCACGAAGTCGCTGTGAAAAAGGAGCTTGCGGCTGATGTTCGAAGCAAAACGAAAGTCGTGCGGGTAGCTCAGTGGTTTCATGATGAAGAGGAGGAGGCAAGAAAGCAGAGCAAGACAGGTGAGTGCACCAAAACGGAAAGCTGCAACGAAGCAGATGTGGAGGTGGTAGAAGATAGAGATCACGAGGTGTTTGACGAGGGCGACCGCGTTTTCGTGAGCAGTCGAACGCACCCAGGTGTCAATCGTGAGGGTGGTGCTGGTATCGTGCTGGGCCGCAATAAGGACGGCACGTACAATGTCAAGTACATTCTCGGTAGAAGTGAAAAGGCCGTGAGTGTAAACTACATCAAGCGGTTGACGGATAATGCAGTGATGGAGTCAGTGAAGACGCAACGGATCGTGGCCAATAGCTGGACAGATGCAGCCAGATCCGTGCGCCTTATTCAGGACGAAGAAACGATGGACGAGACGGACTACTTTGATGAATTGTTGTGGCCCATCTTGAGCGAGGAAGGGTGGAAACGCGACGACAACTTTGATATCATCGAAGCGTCAGGCGAGGAGTCTGGTCTGGCCGTGCAGCGCGTCGTCTTTACTCCGGGCACGACGCGCAACGGTGAGACCGTGACTCTGAATGGTGTGCTCGAGGCGCTGGAGTATGTGTCGGCAGATGCTGATCTGTCGCAGAAATGCTTTGGCTATCGGTACGCGGAAGGCATGATGACCGCTGAAGCTCCTGCCGAGAGCGGTAGTGACCAAGGCATTGTTGCAATCGGGAAAGTGTCTGCAAATGAGGAAAAAGCCGCCACTGCTGAGCCAACGGCTGATGAGCCTGCGCACGAGGTGCATGGCGAGGAGCAGACGGAGGACGTGCCAAAGATGCCAGACTTTATTTATGACGAGGTACGGTGGCACGCTTATGGCTATGCCTCGTTTTGTGACGACTACTAACGGTATCGTGCTGTCAACGTTTGCTGTAGGCTCGAATGGATGCAGTCTTGACGAAGATCGTGGAAAAGACGGCAGGCTGGACTGTCGACAAGCTGCGTGACGAGCTGCTGGTGCTCAACAAACTGGCGTACCCGTATCGCAATAGCTTTGACCGTACCGAGCTGATGATGGTGAGAAGAGAGATGCCAAATGTCGATGGAATAACTACACTGGCTAACAGCTTGTTTCTTGACTTTGACCTCCAGCTCCTCGAGGCCCACGAGATGGCGATGTAGTGAGTGACGAGAACGAAACAGCTGGCGACAAACAGTAGACGTCGGAAGTGTCTTGAAGTACGTGAAGAGATTACTCTCTCATCAGTAATAACGCCATCGAACTTAGACGGACGAGCCCCCCACTCCCTCTGTGTGATGACTATCGCGTTGGCAATCGAAACGAAGTCGCTGCATTGTGCGTGTTGCTCACTCTCTCCGTGTTCTCCGTCAACGTCGCGTCCTCACTCTTCTCTTCTCCTCTTCCCCTCTCTCCCTCTTCACTGCCCATCGTATACGCACTCGTCTCGCGCGAGAAAACTGTGCTGGCCGAGTACACGGCACATCGAGCGACTTCTCTAGCGTCACGCACGCACATGCTAGTCACCGGATCAGGATCAGCTTGGGCGCCATGCATCAAAATGAGGCGCGGTAAAAGCACTTATCGCTGAGGCGCGACCAACAAGAAGACCAAACTTGGAGTTGAGCCAACAGACGGTCAATTGCTTCGGCTCAAGCACGTGGCGCTACCTGTAACGGCCGCGGACGTACCTTCGAGAATACGGGCAGACATCGAGTGCGTGTGTCCGGATGTCGCTGTCACCGTCGGACGGACCTGGAAAAGGGGCTGGTAGATCGCTTGCTCAGTCTGCGTAACTACGGTCCGGACTCAGCGGAACAGGAGCGTCCACAAGCAGGAAAGTGTGACACCCGAACAAGCGGTCGCTGGAGTTCGACACCTTCTTCTTCGACAGCTGCGCGCAGTCGTGATCAAGGACAAACGTCATGGTAGACATAGGACAATAGCATCTTCTTCCGCCTCGCAGCAAAACAGTTCCAGAAACCCCTCTCACATCTGTAGACGGTAAGTGACAGCCTTTGTAGGCGATAGGAATCATATTTTAGGGCCCCCGAGAAGCTGAGGGTGTTTAAGAAATCTTGCAAGTCGTAACGGCAATTCGACCGTCTGGTTCTCATGATCGAACGTGGAACTGAATTATTGATAGGAAATTGGAAAGTGCTTGCTCGAAGTGTGCAAATTGATGTAATTAGAACATGAAACACAAACAATAGTGTATCGTCTAAAGTCATCGAGCCGTTCTACCGGAGTTACACTTTGAATGATCAAGCAAGCTCTAATTACGCGCTTGACAATGAATGCGATACAAATTATTACATCCTAGAGGCAACGCACGGTAACGGACTTATCGTCCGCCACCTTACTAAATTGTGTATAATTGAATATCTCAGCCGCAAAGATAAAATTACCTACGCAAATCAGGGTCTGACGAATGTCAGCTCCTTGAAGGTGTGTATACAGAAGTCACTATACCAGGCGGCAAAAACATTGCGTTGCAGCAGCTTGGCGACATTCATTGTATAAACGTCGCCTAGACGTTGACAGATTGTCGACATGCAATTTGATGTACACATGCATCTGAAGCAATAGGAGCATATTTGTCGAAATAAATCTGCTTATCCCTCGAGACCGCGCACATTATGTCCGTTTGACAATATGCCTCCCACGCTGCCGGGTCAAACGCTAAACACAGTGGCGTGGCAGGCACGAAGGGAGCTGGGAGGCAGGTGGATAGGCACGGGATAGTTGTTGAGATCAGCGTAGGGCCTTGCGACGAGTTCAACGTCTGTGTGCCCAGACAGCCGCTGCTCTGAGGGTAGTGGACGTGCAACCGTTCGGGCAGTATGATTGCCGCCCTGCCGGGTAAAGGCATATCCAAGGCTTATTTAAGCTCGTTCAGGATATAAAATTCGGCGTATAAGCTTCAGAAAAGCTTGTAGATATCCTTAGATCCATGTATGGCGTCTGTGCACCCGGGTAGTCGCTGATTTACGGGTGATGAATGCGCATCTGGTAAGACGCGGATATCGAGAGAATGTGAGTATACTTGCGGACGTACTAACGAACGCATTGTCTGCACCGAGGTTGTATGCACTGAGCCAAGTGATCGGTTTTAGATATATTGATTGGATTCTATGGTGACAAAGCACGATATACTCGTCCTGATAAGGACAGTGTCGATGCGGAGGAGCGCTGAAAGACAAGCTATGAGCTGATGTCCTTAGAAAGCGACACAAACAATTTGTAGTGATCATGCTCACGTCGAACAACTGTATAAGTTCGTACTATTATTTCAGTGCAATAAGGATTTGATAGCTACCCAGGAGATGTCAAAACCTACAACAATTTCTCTTTTGCATCGGACATGTGTACTCAGGCCGCTAAGCTGGATATTGACTTCCTACACGTATCCCATCGGTACCCTCAAGATGTACCCTCAAAATGCAGTTGCACAATCACATCGATATCATCTGCTATCGACGCTCCAGTTATAATAGCACTACGTTCGTATCGCTTCTGGGCGAAAGGTTTCTCTTTGTTTGGATGCTGCCAGCTAGGCATGTATCCATGTAGCGGTCCGATAGATTTTTCTAGTGGTGGACCTTCGGTTTTGCCTGTGTGTTCAACACATCTCCAGGCAGCTTTCTTCGCAGTCAAGTGATCAGCTACACTGAGATCTTGTGCAGTCGTGGCAATATCCGAGCCACAAGTAAGACCATCATCATTACTCGTAGAGCTTTCACACGCTTGTAGACACTCTAAAGTGCTATTCAAATGAGGATGATTAACATGTGGCAGGCATGGGCACGGTTCGATGCTGCCAAGTATTCATGGCTTGTAGCTTCTGATCCATGGTAGATCATAGGTGACATCATTGTAGTCGTTAGAAGCCAGTACGATTCGTTATCGTAATATTCATCTTCTAGTGTGCAGTGGATCCCCACTACATTTCTTCACTGTTTCGGATGCACATGCCAAGGAGCATTATTATCCCCGTTTGAAGCGACCTCGTGTCCTAAGAACATGAGCCTACAATCCCCGTGACTGGCGTAGAACAATTTTCGCGGGGCGCAAAGTGAAACCTCTTTTGCCACTTTGATCTTCAAAATAATGTAGCATACCTCACGACTAGGTATAGCAACACAACTCGATTGTGTATTGATAGCAACCTTTGTCAAGAGAAATGTACATGTTCTTGGATTTGTTGGATCTGCAGGTCACTTCTCCTCTACTAACCGTAACATTGTTCGAATATCCTCTGCGCTTTTGCGACTTCGCAACGACGTTGTCTTCTCGTCATTTGTCTTGATTAGTGGACGGCTGATCACTATGCTCAGTGTTACAATTTGATGGACGCAAAGATCCATACTTGAAGTCGCAGTGGTTTACTTGGACAGGAGTCTCCAGTTCTAGGCGGAACAATTGCACTATGATCGGATCATTCGCGAGGTCCTTGATAAGCACAGTGACTTTTACTTGCTCATCAATAAGCTTACACACGACACAAACCACGATGTATCGTGTGTGTCGAGCGCAGTATGGATATCACTCTCACCTTGATTCAAGTCCATGAGCTCATCTCTAGCCCTGTAATTAGCACGCGAAGGATCAAACGGTACGTCTGAGACGCTCCTTGAATATATCATAGACTCAAACACGTATGAGCTGTACAAATTTAGCCCTATGCCCAGGCTTGGGCACGTCTACGTAAGTTGAGCATGCCGAGCGTCATCTTCGACTCATCGCGTTCGATGCGAAGGGCTTTGATGGTATTGTCAAGTTAGATGGATCATCGTAGCAAAACGTCCCCTTCGACAACCTTGATATTAGGAATTATAATCTTCAAGTTTCCGGTCGAAAACTCATGCTTCGACCTACCAACAGCCCGGCAACAGCAGCTTTAGCTTACTGTTGGTCCAACTTTTTAAACCGTTGGCCAACTTGTTTTCTCGACACTTTTCACTACTTGTAACATTGTTGGTGAAGTAGGGATTTCGTTTGTTAGGCAATGTCAAGTTCAGGATGCACGAACTAATCCGTAGCAGCATGTTGCTCCCCAGAATGAACAACATGGCGTTTACGGCCGGCCACCTACAGTCGACGCCCGTTTGTTCTTTCGCAGTCCATTAGACGCGACTCAAATAAACGAAGCCTTCACGCGTATCCTAAAGGTTTTCAGTGTGACGATTCTGTGATCGGTACATAAACCGCGAAGTACTACCAGGTGTAACATCTGACCCCGCGTATACGGATGACAGTATAAACTTTCCCTACTGAAGACAGCGTAGGTAGGCTCCTTGTAGACTCACGTATACGTACGTGCTGCAGAAGCGAGTATACTAACGTATGGACGTGATTATAAGGTATAAAAGTGACCTGTATCGAGGACGGTATTGTAACGGGGCAGCTCGTTACATGGAATTGTCACTTTAAAGAAAGGGACAATAAAGAATATGAAGTTGAATATTCGTTGAACAATATCACCAAAGTGGTGATATTGAAGGTTCGACCAAAGAGTCTGTTCATTGGTTGATATCTTGATGATATCAACCCACCAATCGCCGCAAGACGCGCGCAATGAGTGGTGACGAGACGTTACCATACACTCAGTTATATTAGCACAAATAAATTAGGTCAAACAGAGAGACAATAGTTTAAAGACTTAATTATATTAATATAACAGTTCTGCTTTTACCTTACCTACGCATCCTCGCTTGACTTGTGTACGTCTGTCGGGGCACCGATACCCTTGCGTTAAGTTCACGTAAGGGTGTGCCCGTTACACCTGGTAGCACTTCGTAGTCCTTCCAAGGACTACAACATCCAACATGAACATGCTAGATGATGAAGAGACCTTTTACGCCACGCGTGAAGGGTTCGCCCATTTGATTGACATCGAATGGGGTGCGGCAGAACGAATGAGTTCTACCGTAGGCGAGTTCGCCATTAGAGCCATGTTGGAGTCTCTAGACAGAGGCCAACAACGTGCCGCTATCGCCAAGTTCATTCAACATGAACTTGTCACCGAAAGGAAGAAAGTAGCCTTGCTTCACCAGCAAGGCTCTCAACGGGCCGAGCAGTTGAGAGAACTCGGTGCTCAACAGACAGAGCTGTTGAGACAGCAGCAATTCCATGCTGCTGTGGGCGGGACGGCACATGCGCG